TGCAAATTGAGGTGGAAATTACTTCGTGCATTTTTTCACATGAGGGTGCGTAAGAAGTGGATCAATATGAAACGTTGAGTTCCAAGAATCTTACTGTTACATTTCATATCTTAATGTATGAGATAGAAATACTACCAACTTCAGCTTAGTATCTTTTTATTTACGTGACGTCCAGTTTTAATTGCAAGCTTATGATTTTTATAATTTTTACTCAAATCAACAGTGAAATAAATGACCCCTAATTTGCTGTATTACTTCATGACACTATTATAATTTTTTTAATTAATAACTTTTTGCTTATGTTCAGTAAAACAAATTTAAAATAATATATTTTGCACTCTTATCAAGTACCCTGTGATGTTTGCATACTTTCAATTAATCCATATACATGCGTATTTATATACGAAAATATGTATACACGTGTACGTACATATTTTAAAAAGAACAATTCAGAATGATCTATTTAACTATAAAAAGAATAAGTGAATTTTTTTGAAGGCACTAATTTTATTACCACACCATTCAACTATTTAGAGCAATTTATTGAACAGTTGCGCATTAAAAATGTCAAATTAAATGAAATACTTTCAAAATTATGTCTGACAGTTCAGCTTTACGTCATATAAAAACCATTTTATTGTCATCTTAAATATTTATTGACTGTAAATGTGAAAATTTTTGAAAATATTTTTTAAAAAATGGTATTTTTTCATTTTGATATGTGTCATTAAAAAAAAAAAATCGGCTACAGAAGGATAATTGATCTTTAATAATAGATGTATAACAAATAACCGCTTCTTATTCCCTGATCGTTTGTAATAAATTATTTCTCTTAGTTTTAATGCATGAATACAAAAGCAGAGAGTTAAAAGAGTCAAGACCTTTTATTAAAAAAAAATTCAGTCGTATGAAAATTGTAAGTCAATCGTTGTCTTATTCGAAAAAAATGGAAATTTACGATAGCCATTGCTTTATTTGCACTAAAATATTTTGTTCAGCTGCTGGCATTTGGCCTTACGAAACTAAAAACATGAAATTCTGCAAACGTTCCTATTATTTAACGATTTCTCTAATATTTATGATATCTCAAGTAATGTGAAACTTAAAATTGAAATATTTGTTGATAATTGATAATGAGTTGATAATTTGAAAAAATATTTATTCTCAGTTTTCTTTACTTGCAACATTAAAAAAAAATTTTTTTTTGTACTTATTAGACAGCAGCTATTTTCAAGAATATAAATATCGATATGACCCATGCATTCATAAATATTACATCAATTTTTTACCTTTGTCAGTTCCTTTCCAAGTATCTAACATCAATAATGTTTGAAAAAGAGGTTAGCATTTTTATAAATCTCTTTATACAAAATGCACTAAAAATATTAACTTTTCAAAACTTATAGTTTAAAAAGATGAGTGATTTCGTGGTTAAGAGTTGGGAAATGATAAATGATAAAGACGAACAGAAAATTATGTTAAAACACGCTGAACGAGGAAGATTATTTTCTTATACCTACACAAGTATACATAGAATTAAGTTAAACCTTCTTGCTCTTGATAATAAAATCAAATATACGGATCATGATATTATTTACAAATCTTTGACTTGATACTGAAAAGTAACAAAAGTTTTCTTTGCAGGTTACATATTTATTACTTTCGGTCTATACTGTACACTCCCACTTCTAACCAAAATTTATATAGAACGTAATCCATTGAATGCACGAATATCAGTCGAATATTTGTTATTTGCTGATTATTTTATTAGGAAAGAAGGACATTTTTTTAAAGTCTACATCATTGATATAATTATTGCCTCATTATAAATTATAGTTAAAAAAAAAAAAATAACCGCAATAGTTGTAGATCAAAGTTTATTTTATTATATTACTGCTTCTTTAAACGCATGTGTAATTGTATATTCAATCTAGAATATATTTTATGAAATATGGCATCGTCGCATAATTATTTTTTACAAAGTTGTAATTTGGTACCTAATGCAATCAACAGCTTTGTACATGTGGGTTGATTCTTCGCTGTGACGTGGCGGTGCCCATGCGTATCCTTTGTCATTAAATACAACCAATCAGACTCTAATATAATAGTTGCAGTAGTACGAATGGAAACATAACCAAATTTTGCCAATATACCTTGTACCAAAACCAATATACCTTTCAGAAAAATAATTTAAAACTCAAATAATAAATTAAAAAAAAATACTATAAAACATCGAAAAAATCAGTTCGTTTGTTACAGTTTATTATTCAGATTTATGAGTAGTCGGAAAAATAGTAGATCTTGTTCTACGTTTTTGTAATACACATTTATGTCTACAGTATGGTCATTATAGTCTAAATAACGATAATTAACAAAAATAGCTAAAAACTAATGTAATAGTGCTAACATTGATAAATTGAAATTATTTTCAAGATTAGTACGATTATGGTCATACTTTTTGCTTTAGTAAAAAATGTAACAGTCATGCCTTGAATGCTAAAATTTAATTTTTTGCATAAATTTGACCATTGATTAGTAATTTTTACATTAACTTTATTTATTAAATGCTTTGTGTAATTTTTGGTTCTCATGTAATTGATTCAATATTTTTCGGTGTCATATTGTAAGTAAATAAATAAGAAAGAAAAATATATATTCACGAACATGACGCTAAAATTAAAATTTAAAGCTCAATTTCATGATCCCGCACACTGGTATTCGCGTATTACTCTCCTTATAAATAGTAACATAGACAAAGGCAGAATACAGCGGAGGATTGGAGTATCATTGAACGTAACACGTGCCTTAAGTGTATAGCGTTCCAGCAGTAATAGTATAGCATCTTCCCCTCGTCTGCTTCCCATCTCTCTCTCTCTCTCTCTTTCCCTGATTCGTTCCGCAGTGCTTAGCTCTTTCCCTTCCTTTGAAAGACGCGCGCGACTGCATTTTGCTATTAATAAAAGCGCACGTGACACGAGACTTGAACGTCAACTGCGTGACTCCATACATCTCCCTCTCTCTCTCTATAACATATTTTTTTTTTCTCGCTTTACTCTACAAATGCCGCAATTTCAGTCTTGTGCAGCAGTTCGCGGAAATCGCACGTGAATCCTCACACGGTAATTCCCAACTCTGCATGTGAATGTCGTGATTATTTGGTTTTTGGTTGTAGAATTCGAATTCAGAATGAATAATCAGATTGATAATTTATTTTCACGCTGTTCATCCTGTCGTGCTGCTCACGCGTTTGCGATTCAATTTCGACCTTCGCGCGTTTTAATCACGGGGTGATCCACTTCGAGAATATTAAATAGGTTTTACGTCATTTTTTGATGATTAGTTTGTTCAGAGCAAAAGTTTGGATTTTTTGAACATTTTTTACTCACTTTTTTTGAAAACTGTAGCTTATCATTTTTTTAAATAATACAGTAACTATCAATTAAAATGGATAATCATGCACTTAGTTGCCCGAAGATTTGACATGATAAGATACGTTAGTTTTACGTGCAGGCCTTAGAAGTAGTAGTTAACGATATAATATCTTTTATATTGAATAAACGTGATATTGTGCATCTTCAAAAATAAACGTATTATTTAAACGCTGACATCCCATGTTTGCCTACTGTATATTGTGCTCATTTTGACTTCGACCTTGTATTGTTTTAGTTATGCTCACTTCCACTACTTCTACTAGCTCCTCTAAAATAATCGATAAATTATACGATATTGATGGCTAATGCAGTTTCTAATGGACAATATTGTACAAACTCTAATTTAATTGTTGCGAGTTTTATGACGTATAAAATAATCGTTGTACACGAATAAACGAATTTTTTTGATATTGATAAAATTATCCAAACAAATTTTGAAAGATGGAATTTAAAAAAAAGATGTAGCAATTTAATACGTATTTTTGACACGGTAAAAATAAAAATTTTAAGTAATTAAAGCACCACTGACAAAACCACTTGCAGCGGTATATAAAATTTTATTTGACATGTAGATATAATATACTGCACGTACGTATCAGCGCACGAAGACGTAAAGGCGATGAGTGGCAGTGGCAAGAGATGTACAGCAAGCGAATGGAAACGACCGACCGGCCCATCGAACGTCTGGAGGATAGTCGAGGGTTGCGAGAAAGTACCCGACGAAGGTAATACTCGAGCCGGCAGTAGCGGAGCCACTGACTTTCGATTTTCCATTCGGGAGGTGCCAGAGGACCGATACCAAGAAGCAATCGAGCACATGTGCAAGTATTTCGTTGCTGACGAGGCAACCTGCAAATCCCTGAGTATGTCTGAGCCATCCAGTACTTTTTTTTTTTTTTTCGTTTTTTTTCAGTAAGACTTCTTTTTGAACTTTTTCCGGAGAGAGTTGTAGGAATTAATTTTCCTTTTATTTAGACGTTATTTAGAATTATTCTTTTCTTTTTTTGTAGAACTGAAAGAAGATCGAGATGCAGTAGATGACTTTCAGCGCCTTTGGGACTATTTACTGAAAATAGGCATAAGCATTGGTGCTTACAAATTAGATGAAAATGACACACCGATCGAACTTGCTGGGATGAATGTTTTATTCGTGGTGACTGACGAGATTGAGAAGGCCTTGGAAAAATTTGTGGTAAGAGTTTATTTACACATTCTTAGTTTTTTTTAGACAAATAGTACGTGTCGTGAAAAACAACGCCGATTATTAGAAAGAATCTCATTTTTAAGATGTTATTTTGATAGGTGCCGGTAAAAAATGTACTGTTAACCGATTCGTTTGTCTAATAATTTATATTATACGTGGAGATATAACTTACCATAAGAGTCGATGATAAAATGTGATACAGTAAATAGTCAATTGATAATAAAATTTAGATTTAATTAATGTGCTGGTGTTACATAGTGGAGTACCTACGTGTTGACTAATGATTCTACTTCGAAGGTTGCTGATAGTTTATTTGTTATAATTATGTACAGAAAAGATTAGATAGCTGTGTACAGATTTTGTGAATCTTTGTGATCACAATTTTGTTGTCTTATGCACTTATTTTCCTACTAGATAACATGAACAATACCTGCATATTGCTATTTAATATTATTTATTGGAAGCCAATTTTTCGTCGGAAAAAGAGCGTAAATCACAATATTTATATTTTTCAGGTGTCCTTCAAGTCAAAGAAAGCAAAAAAATTATTCAAATTCATGCAAGGGCTATCGGAGAAGGCGGACGTGCGTGACATTTACGGAGTGGACAAATATATATCTGCACTGGGCTTGAGCGTCGCACCGGCTTTTCGTGGACAAAAGCTTGGAGTTCGTTTACTCGAAGCCCGGTACGTAGCTCGAGGACTAGACATGTTTTAAAATATTTTTAACTCGGTAATTTAAATTAGCCTTACTTTTATGACGTTTCAATAAATATTACTGCTGGAATGTTGGCTTACGAGATTTTACGTACCGATGAAATTCTATGATCCATCCCTTAAATGTACCATTTGAAAGCTTAAATACTACCACTTGTTTTTCAAAAAATATGTTTTCAGGAACGACATTGGACGGAAGTACGGGATAACCGCGACCTCAACTATTTTCACAGCAACGCCGTCGCAAATCCAGGCGGAGCGCGCGGGTTTTGAGTGCGTGCTAGTTCAGGAGTATAGTCAAGTTCGAGATGATAATGGCCAGCTTTTATTTCCGGACATAGAGTCGAAGGTGGCGAAGATAATGATAAAACGCTTAAGGTGAAAACCAATTTATGGTTGTTATGTGGTGATCGTTGCGGTGGTGAAGCGAGTGGTATCTTGTATGCTTTAACATTGGCATTGCCATTCTGATAGAACGAAAAAAATGATGTCGTATAAATTATAGTTAAAAAAAAAAAAATAACCGCAATAGTTGTAGATCAAAGTTTATTTTATTATATTACTGCTTCTTTAAACGCATGTGTAATTGTATATTCAATCTAGAATATATTTTATGAAATATGGCATCGTCGCATAATTATTTTTTACAAAGTTGTAATTTGGTACCTAATGCAATCAACAGCTTTGTACATGTGGGTTGATTCTTCGCTGTGACGTGGCGGTGCCCATGCGTATCCTTTGTCATTAAATACAACCAATCAGACTCTAATATAATAGTTGCAGTAGTACGAATGGAAACATAACCAAATTTTGCCAATATACCTTGTACCAAAACCAATATACCTTTCAGAAAAATAATTTAAAACTCAAATAATAAATTAAAAAAAAATACTATAAAACATCGAAAAAATCAGTTCGTTTGTTACAGTTTATTATTCAGATTTATGAGTAGTCGGAAAAATAGTAGATCTTGTTCTACGTTTTTGTAATACACATTTATGTCTACAGTATGGTCATTATAGTCTAAATAACGATAATTAACAAAAATAGCTAAAAACTAATGTAATAGTGCTAACATTGATAAATTGAAATTATTTTCAAGATTAGTACGATTATGGTCATACTTTTTGCTTTAGTAAAAAATGTAACAGTCATGCCTTGAATGCTAAAATTTAATTTTTTGCATAAATTTGACCATTGATTAGTAATTTTTACATTAACTTTATTTATTAAATGCTTTGTGTAATTTTTGGTTCTCATGTAATTGATTCAATATTTTTCGGTGTCATATTGTAAGTAAATAAATAAGAAAGAAAAATATATATTCACGAACATGACGCTAAAATTAAAATTTAAAGCTCAATTTCATGATCCCGCACACTGGTATTCGCGTATTACTCTCCTTATAAATAGTAACATAGACAAAGGCAGAATACAGCGGAGGATTGGAGTATCATTGAACGTAACACGTGCCTTAAGTGTATAGCGTTCCAGCAGTAATAGTATAGCATCTTCCCCTCGTCTGCTTCCCATCTCTCTCTCTCTCTCTCTTTCCCTGATTCGTTCCGCAGTGCTTAGCTCTTTCCCTTCCTTTGAAAGACGCGCGCGACTGCATTTTGCTATTAATAAAAGCGCACGTGACACGAGACTTGAACGTCAACTGCGTGACTCCATACATCTCCCTCTCTCTCTCTATAACATATTTTTTTTTTCTCGCTTTACTCTACAAATGCCGCAATTTCAGTCTTGTGCAGCAGTTCGCGGAAATCGCACGTGAATCCTCACACGGTAATTCCCAACTCTGCATGTGAATGTCGTGATTATTTGGTTTTTGGTTGTAGAATTCGAATTCAGAATGAATAATCAGATTGATAATTTATTTTCACGCTGTTCATCCTGTCGTGCTGCTCACGCGTTTGCGATTCAATTTCGACCTTCGCGCGTTTTAATCACGGGGTGATCCACTTCGAGAATATTAAATAGGTTTTACGTCATTTTTTGATGATTAGTTTGTTCAGAGCAAAAGTTTGGATTTTTTGAACATTTTTTACTCACTTTTTTTGAAAACTGTAGCTTATCATTTTTTTAAATAATACAGTAACTATCAATTAAAATGGATAATCATGCACTTAGTTGCCCGAAGATTTGACATGATAAGATACGTTAGTTTTACGTGCAGGCCTTAGAAGTAGTAGTTAACGATATAATATCTTTTATATTGAATAAACGTGATATTGTGCATCTTCAAAAATAAACGTATTATTTAAACGCTGACATCCCATGTTTGCCTACTGTATATTGTGCTCATTTTGACTTCGACCTTGTATTGTTTTAGTTATGCTCACTTCCACTACTTCTACTAGCTCCTCTAAAATAATCGATAAATTATACGATATTGATGGCTAATGCAGTTTCTAATGGACAATATTGTACAAACTCTAATTTAATTGTTGCGAGTTTTATGACGTATAAAATAATCGTTGTACACGAATAAACGAATTTTTTTGATATTGATAAAATTATCCAAACAAATTTTGAAAGATGGAATTTAAAAAAAAGATGTAGCAATTTAATACGTATTTTTGACACGGTAAAAATAAAAATTTTAAGTAATTAAAGCACCACTGACAAAACCACTTGCAGCGGTATATAAAATTTTATTTGACATGTAGATATAATATACTGCACGTACGTATCAGCGCACGAAGACGTAAAGGCGATGAGTGGCAGTGGCAAGAGATGTACAGCAAGCGAATGGAAACGACCGACCGGCCCATCGAACGTCTGGAGGATAGTCGAGGGTTGCGAGAAAGTACCCGACGAAGGTAATACTCGAGCCGGCAGTAGCGGAGCCACTGACTTTCGATTTTCCCATTCGGGAGGTGCCA